AGCAGGAGGCCCCATTAGCTAAAGTGGTACCTCAGGTTAAGAACGGTTTCAGGTTAAGAATGGACCTCCGTAACGATTTAAGTTTGTAACCAGAGGTACCACTGTATGTACGAATGTGACCCAAGGCAGCTTCCTATATTCCTTCCTATGTTCCTATCACCATAGAATTCTGGGGGGAGGAAAATGTGTGGCTGCATTTCTGTGCTGCCGTTTTAATTTCCCACAATGCCCACGGCATGGCATCACTCCAGGGCAAATGGAAGGGCGCTGTGCCAAGGACCCCCTCAAGCCCATCCCAATATCTGCTTTCCCTGTTTGGACAGGGAGTCTGACAGTAGGTGGCGCAAATTTTAGTTTTGGAACCTTAGAGACTCTATGGTAGCGTCTGACCTCCAGTCAGTAGGTGGCACTGACAGGCCCTTGTAACCCCATTAAACTCCACTGGGAAGATGGAGGAGGAGATGTCGTCTGTGTCTTCAATCTGGATGGAAATATAGTCCCAAGACCTGGTGGGGAGGGAGCAAGCTGTACTGTCCCCCTCCATAGGAATCTGACTTCTTCTGGCTGAGAGCAAAATGGCAGGACTAGCTAGCAGTGGTCTCTTGAGAGCCAAGAGCTGCTGGCTCCTGCTGTGAGGGGAGTTGGACCCCCCAAAGTGTAATGCCATTTCTCTCCCCGCAACAGAAATATTGTATTCCTCTTAAATCCATTATAATTATGAAGCATCCTTGATTACTGAAAATGGACTCTGCTGGATACCTCATTTGAAAAACACAGAGATTCCTCTGAGACCATCTCTCGCCCATTTACTGCTCACTGGTGAGGCATCAGCTGACCAGGCCAGACTGTTTACATACCAACTGTAAACTCTCAAATGAAGGAACGGATAAGCAATGGCTGCAGCACCACTGGGCAAGCCCCCTCCCTAAGAAACCAGAAAATGCATTGTGGTTATTTCTCCCAGTTACTGGCTTTGGCAACCTGACAGCCTTCTTCAGCTGAATCACTTTAAATCCAGGTCAGGGCAGGTAACTCCCCACCCTCCTGTCAAGGGCTGCATTCTGTTGGGCTGGGTCATCTGTTGTGGGGCGGCATGCCAGCTTTGGGTGGGGCAGAGACCAGAGTCAAAAGCAGATGAGGACATCCTTCTTCTCTCACTTTCTGACTCCCGCTTCTCTCTGATATCTCTTCTTTCCTCCCTCGCTCCCTCTCTTTCCAACACTCCTTTTTCTTTCTGACACCTCTCTCTCTCTGACACCCCTTTTTTTCTCTCCCTCTTTTTGACACCTACTGCTATTTTTCTAGAAAAAGTGGTGCTGGAACTCAGGATGAATGCCTGAGAGGAGCTGGAACGGAGTTCCGGAGAGTTCCGTCGGAAAAAAGGCCCACTGACACCCCCATCTTTCTCCTTCTCCCTTTTTGTCTCTGCCCAGCAGAGAGTCAGATCACTCTTACCAGAGGTCTAAACTGATCCCAATAGGGTGCTTTGGAAATTACACCACGGCTGCCTTGAGCCCCGAAGTTTGCCCAACCCTTACCCACACTTTTGCCCACCTCATCCTATCTGAGGGACAGAGCCACTCAACAGCATGAGTAGTCTGAAGAAAAACCTTGGGCTGCTTGGGCTGTTTAATTTGCTGCATTATAATCTTGGAAGCAGAGTGCTGATAAGCAAAAGGCCGGTGCTGGTGTGTGTGTGTCAATGCCCAGTCTCAATAAAGCCCCTTCTAAGCACTATTTCAATTTCTGATATCACTTAGATAAGGCTCCAGCTTCTGTCGATAAAACCACCGTGCTTTATCTATGACCTCCTGACCTTGAGTAAATGCTATGCCAGTAGCCACCCCCCCACCCCTACTCTATTGGAAGAAATGGGAATAAGATGGACCAGTAACAGGCAGGAAGGAAAGGAACACAGTGGGATGCGGGTTCAACCACCTGAACAGCTTCACTAGACATGTCCTGGAGCAGTGAAGGCATTTTTAAGGTGTTTCCCCGCTCGTAGGGCATGCTGAGGTCCTGATTCGTTTTCAATAAAATCATGAGTCCATGGTCTCTTTTTTTAAGATCACCAGTTTTGTTTTACCTCCCTGGGTTGCTAATGAGCAAATACGGACCCTGATTAGCTGACTGAAATTAACAATTGTGATGTGTTTCCTCACATTCTAAACTCCCACTCACGGATAGAGCGGCACATACTGCAAGCAGAATTGATTCGCATCGGCTTCCTAAACCAGAATCAATAAGCAATTCTCGTGCTGCTGGTCTTGGTGACTAGGGAGAGCAGAGCACAATCAGGTTTATTAAAAATAACACATTTCACTGTTCTGAGAAGGAGCTTTTGCTTAAGACTTAACAAAGGTCAACCTTTCTCTTTCTCTTTCTCTGCACAGGTTTTCCACCAAGTATTGGATGTCTCAGACATGCACTGTCTGTGGGAAAGGAATGTTGTTTGGACTGAAATGTAAAAACTGCAAGTATGTCTATCTTCCTCCCTCTCCCTCCACCTTTCAAATATAAGTAATTATTATTGTTTTTCATGGCGGGCAAAATACACAACTGTGAGAACATAGAAAAGAGCCCACCCCAGCTCCCTTCCCCTCCGTAACATGTCCAAGTGATCCAAGAAGCGAGGAAAAGAACTGCAGCAATGAAACAAAAGATCCCAGTCATCTAAATAATAGTTCAAAAGTACAAATAAAGATGAGACATTAAATAGCAATTATGAATTCCAAATTGAAGCCTATTGAGCCGGAGGATTAACATATTCCTTGATGCATACATGTGTAATAAAAGCAAAGTAGTTCTTGATGAGTTTGCTTGGTTAAGAAATGCCATGACAGACCCTGAGTTTATGTGCAAGATTTTCCATGTAGGCTACATGCCAGCCTTCTTGATACCAACAGGGGACTGACTGAAGGAAATCTGCCTCTTTTTTATTGCAGCATTTTGTATCCCACTTTCCCTCCAAGATACGTGGTTTCCTGCCTCCACATTTCATCCTCGCAGCAACCCTACATTAGCATGGCTATCAGGTTGCTCTCACACATACAGTCTGAGTAGACAAAGGGCCACTGCAGTTCCAAATGATAGCTCAAGGTTGTGTGCATGGTTCTTCCCCTCCATTTTACCTTCACAACAACCCTGAGAGGTAGGTTAGGTAGAGAGTTAGCAATTGGGCCAAGGTCCCCCGAGTGGGGATTTCAAACCCGACAGTCTAACTACTATACCATACAGTGGTACCTCAGGTTACAAACGCTTCAGGTTACAGACTCCGCTAACCCAGAAATAGTGCTTCAGGTTAAGAACTTTGCTTCAGGATGAGAACAGAAATCGTGCTCCGGCGGCGCGGCGGCAGCAGGAGGCCCCATTAGCTAAAGTGGTGCTTCAGATTAAGAACAGTTTCAGGTTAAGTACAGACCTCCAGAACAAATTAAGTACTTAACCTGAGGTACCACTGTACTGGCTAATAAGAAGAATGATGATGCAATGGGCGCCTATATATTATATACTGTATATATAATATCTTTATTGCCCCAAAGGTCCAAGCACTGCTCGGGGAATAAGTAGCTGATTACTGGCTTCCTTCCAGCTTTCAAATAGTTAAAGAGACAGGGAGAAAAATAATTTAGTCAGAGTCAGCCGACCCTTTGGTCAGGTGGGGCATGGAGGTACTTATGCAGAATAGTTACAGCTGTTTTTGAGACACCATAGAAAAGACTGAGGAGGCTGCATCATACTGAGTCAGATCTATTGGTCCAAATCACTGTTGTCTACACGGATTGATAACAGCTCTCCGGGTTTTAGACAGGGGACATTCCCAGCCCGGACACTGAGGTCCAGTTCTGAAGTCCCTCTGGCGGTTCCCTCACTGTGAGAAGTGAAATTACAGGGAACCAGGCAGAGGGCCTTGTTGGTAGTGGTGCCTGCCCTGTGGAGCGCCCTCCCATCAGATGTCAAATAGTTAAAGAGTTAAACAATGATATGACTTTCCATAGACATCTGAAGACAGCCCTGTACTGGGAAGTTTTTAATGTCCGATGTTTTGTTGTGTGTTTTTTAAATTCTATTGGAAGCCGCCCAGAGTGGCTGGGGCAACCCATCAGATTTATTAATAAAAAATCAAACATTAAAAACTTACAGATATGGGGCTGCCTTCAGATGTCTTCTAAAAGTTGCGTAGTTCTTTATTTCTTTGACATCTGATGGGAGGGAGTTCCACAGGGGGGTGCTACTACTGAGAAGGCCCTCTGCCTGGTTCCCTGTAACTTCACTTCTTGCAATGAGGGAATTGCCAGAAGGCCCTCGGAGCTCGACCTCAGTGTCCGGGCTGAACGATGGTGGTGGAGACGCTCCTTCAGGTATTATTATTATATTATTATTATTCTACCTGGTGATGTGAGCTACAGCCCTTCCTAGTCCGAACTGCGGTTCTCAAAGTGCTCTTGTCTCTCCTGTCTCTTAGGCTAAAGTGCCACAACAAATGTACCAAAGAGGCCCCGCCATGTCACCTGCTGATCATCCACCGTGGAGGTAAGGGCAGCTACCGCCGTGTCTCTGAGATCTTCCGCCTGATTTGTAGCCCAGGACAGAGCAAGACAGTTGCCTTTCGTAGCTCTTTCTTTCTTTCTTCTTCAAACGCCGAGCCAGGTACATATCTCCTCTGGGCACTCCCAGGCCTGCTCTTCTCCTTTGCTTCGCTCCTTCCTCTTTTCTTGCCTGCAGTGATCATGGCAGGGGGACACGATGAGGGTCCTGAGTCCGGGCCCTGGATCTTTTAACCCTTTCCTTCCCATTTTCTTTCTTTCTTTCTTTCTTTCTTTCTTTCTTTCTTTCTTTCTTTCTTTCTTTCTTTCTTTTTAAAAACTGTTATTTCATTTGCTCGTGTAGGGATGTAGGAAGCCGCCTAATACTGGGTCCATCCAGCTCAGTATTTTCTACACAGACCACAGGCAGCAGATTTCCTAGGATTTCAGGCAGAGGTGTTCCCCAGCCCTACCTGGAGACACTGGGGATTGAACCTAGGACTTTCTGTGTGTGCAAAGCAGATGGTCCACCACTGAGCCACAGCCCTTCTTTATACTGAGTCAGGCCACTGGGCCGTCTAACTTAGTATGGTCACCACTACAGACCTTCCAAGTGTCCCTGTTTTCTAGGGACAGTCTTGGATTTACAGAAGCCATCCCGGTTTCTGATTTGATCCCAGAATGCCCCACTTTTCCTTAGGACGTCCCTATTTTAATTGGAGAAATGTTGCAGGCCATGCAGTTATGCAATCCCCGAGCCAAGGAGATCAGAAACTATACAACCTTTAGAAGACATACGCAGGCAGCCCTGTACAGTTGTACCTCAAAAGTCGAACGGAATCCGTTCCGGAAGTCCGTTTGACTTCCAAAACGTCCAGAAACCAAAGTGCAGCTTCTGATTGGCAGCAGGAAGCTCCTGCAGCCAATCAGAAGCTGCGGAACCCCCGTCGGACATTCGGGTTCCAAAGAACGTTCGCAAACTGGAACACTCACTTCCGGGTTTGCGTTGTTCAGGAGCCAAAACGTCCGAGTACCAAGGCATTCGGGATCCATGGTACGACTGTATTAGGAAGTTTTTTTTAAAAAAAATGCTAATGTTTTATTATGCTTTATATATGTTGGAAGTCACCCAGAGTGGCTGGGGCAACCTAGTCAGATGGCTGGGGAATAATAATAATAATAATAATAATAATAATAATGATGGAATAGGACGTCCCTATTTTCATCAGAGAAATGTTGGAGTGTATGCACTAACTGCCAGTGGCTTTCCAGGGTCTCAAGCAAGAACCTTTCCCATCCCTACTGGGAGATTACCAGGATCTGAACCAGCAACCTTTGGCATTCAAAGCAGACCCCCCTGCCCCTGAGCTATGACCTTTAGTGCATTGTTCTGGGGATTGTGAACCAGATTGGTTTGGACCATCCCTGCCTCCCACCACACGGAGGAGCAGTGCAGGCGGATGGAGGCTGACATGAGCACGGCTTCATGCAAAAAGCTCCCTTAGCTGTAGGAGACCACTTCATGCATATGAAGAGGAGGCCTCCCAGGCCCCAGGAGGAAGCCTTTCTTGCCGGAAGATGGCTTTGCCTTTTCATTAAAGCGTTCCCCATGCCAAAGTGATTACCTGGAGGGGGACCATTTGGAAATCCAGAATCAGAAATGTGCATTTCATTTAGCTCTAATGAGGCTCCTGCTGCTTGATGCTTGCTAAATACACCTGCACTGGGAGAATACTTGATTTTTTTTGCTAAATGCTTTTAATGAGTTACTTATTTGTGCCTAATTGTAAGGCTTCTGCATCGGAAAACGAAAAGGCAGAGAAGAGTCAGGTGAACTCTTTGGTGTAGAAGTCCAGAAAAAGGAAAGGCGTTAGCTGTAATTATTTAGGTTATCAATGGCAAATTAATTATTTTCAATAGTCAGAATCTGGGGTTCACAATAGCTCCCTAAATTCCACTGTAAGTCACAGAAAGGATAGAAGAAAGCATCACTTTCCACCCTGACCCATAGTTGCTGCATGCAGGACTATTTCCATTTTGTTACCATTTGACCCAACGAAAATGACATTATTTGTCTCGCTGTCTGCTGGAGCTGATTTTTTAAAAATAAAAAATGTAATTATGTTATTCCACACTGTTCATTTTGATGCAAAGGAAGCACAATGCAGTGGGGGGGGGGTGAGTCATAAAAATCCTACGATGGGTAGATGAGGCCTTCATAATGCAATCACTGGGGGCTAGACAGTCAGTAATAATAATAATAATAATAATAATAATAATAATAATAATAATTTATTTATACCCTGCCCATCTGGCTGGGTTTCCTCAGCCACTCTGGGCAGCTCCCAACAGAATATTAAAAACATGATAAAACATCAAACATTAAAAACTTCCCTAAACAGGGCTGCCTTCAGATGTCTTCTAAAAGTCAGATAGTTGTTTATTTCCTTGACATCTGATGGGAGGGTGTTCCACACGGAGGGTGCCACTACCTAGAAGGCTCTCTGCCTCACTCCCTGTAACCTCATTTCTCGCAGTGAGGGAACCGCCAGAAGGCCCTCGGAGCTGGACCTCAGTGTCTGGGCAGAACAACGGGGGTGGAGACGCTCCTTCAGGTATACTGGGCTGAAACCGTTTAGGGCTTTAAAGGTCAGCACCAACACTTTGAATTGTGCTCGGAAATGTACTGGGAGTCAATGTAGGTCTTTCAGGACTGCTGTTATATGACAGAGTCTTTTCAGTGGTGGTTCCCCAGTTGTGGAATGCCCTCCCAATTGAGTTGTGCCTGTTTCATCATTACTAACTTTCAGGTGGAATTTGAGAATGTTCCTGTTTACCCAGACATTTGTTGGCGGAAGAATACTGTTCCTGGCATCCATAAGATCATTGGATGGAAGAAATTTTCTTTAAAAAGATTAAACTGATAACTGTAACTGATTTTAGATGTTTTTAATTGTACTTGTTTTTAGAATGTTTTGATCTGTCTAGGAATGTTTTTGCATTCTTCTGTGTTTTAAATTGTACATTTGCTTGCCACCCTGGGCTCTTTGGGGAGGGAGGGTGGGATATAAATTCAATCCATCAATCAATAAAATAATTACATATCATTAGCAGACTGAAAGTAACAACAGTGAATAGTAATCATATCCACTGGATAAATTTCTGTTTCAGACATGGGACAAACAAACAAACAAAACAAAAAAATGAGCATCATCCATTTCTCTTATACTGTATTGTTCTGGTAGGAATTCTCAGACATCTCTAGCCATGGAGCACTGAATGAATACTCTAGTTGTTCAGACAAAGGCTCTGTTTGAACAGGAAGTGATTATACTACTTCCTGGTTGGGTGAGGGAACCACTGCTTAGGTGGGAATATCTTTGGTGGAACAGGAATCAGAGCAAAGGAACATAAAAGGATGAGGGGCTACGGGGGAATAAGGAACCTGTGGCACTGTGGGTTAAACCACAGAGCCTAGGATTTGCCGATCAGAAGGTTGGCGGTTCGAATCCCCACGATGGGGTGAGCTCCCGTTGTTCGGTCCCTGCTCCTGCCCACCTAGCAGTTTGAAAGCATGTCAAAGTGCAAGTAGATAAATAGGTACCACTCCGGCGGGAAGGTAAACAGCATTTCCGTGCACTGCTCTGGTTCGACAGAAGGGGCTTAGTCATGCTGGCCACATGACCCGGAAGCTGTACGCCAGCTTCCTCGGCCAATAAAGTGAGATGAGTGCCGCAACCCCAGAGTTGGCCACGACTGGACCTAATGGTCAGGGGTCCCTTCACCTTTACCTTACAGTGGTACCTTGGGTTACAGACGCTTCAGGTTACAGACTCCGCTAACCCAGAAATAGTGCCTCGAGTTAAGAACTTTGCTTCAGGATGAAAACAGAAATTGCGCAGTGGTGGTGCAGTGGCAGCGGGAGGCCCCATTAGCTAAAGTGGTACCTCAGGTTAAGAACAGTTTCAGGTTAAGAACGGACCTCCGGAACGAATTAAGTTCTTAACCAGAGGTATCACTGTATTGTGACACTCAAGGGATGGGTAGAATGAATGAGACATTTGGAAGTAATTACAACAAGCTTAAAGTGATGGTGGGAAGAGATTTAGCCGGGCTTGAGCATTGCTTACAAATAGCCCCCGTATAACCAGCAGTGCAAGGGATAAGAAACCAGGTCCCAGCACGGATCTGTGACTGGCTGGAAAGACGGAGAAAAAATATTTGGCACTCAGCGGTCAAACTTCACAATGGAGGCTGCAGTGCTCCAGCAGCCCGTATTGGGTAACTTGAGTACTTGACATATTAATTAACCATCTGGAAAGGGCAGCCATTGAGCCGGTGGCGCAGAAATTGATTTGTGATGGCGAAGGTCATAACAGCTTGTAAAATGTTGCAAAGAAAGGAAATCGCGTGTCTCAGTGTGTGGCAACCAAATGGTGGAGGGAATTTGGTTCCAGGTTGGTAAAGGGCAACAGAAACACAGGCCGGGAGGAAATGCTCTAGAGTGTACATGTACAATGGATATGATCCAGAGTGCTTCTCTTTCTCTGAAAGAGGATTGTTCTTGTGAGTTAAGGATGCGGACCGATGTGCAAAGTGAAACCGGCTGGCAAGGGAGAGGGTCAAGCAAAGCCAGCTGACCCAACTGTAAGCAGAAGTTGGGCAGGAAGGGGAGTGCAGAAATGAAGGGCAAGGGAGGCACAAAATGCAGCCATCCAGAGCAACAGGCTTGATTGTTGGCTGGGAGCGAGACAGGAGCGATAGCTCAGTCGGTAGACCATGAGGCTCTTAACTTCAGGGTTGTGGGTTTGAGCCCCATGTTGGGCAAAGGATTCCTGCACTGCAGGGGGTTGGGCAAGATGACCCATGTGGTCCCTTCAAACTCTAAAATTCTCTGCAGTTCCAACTCATACAATCATGATTCCATGATTCTATGATGGATAAAAAGGAATGCAAGTACAGGAGGGAATCTTGTTCAGACAAGGCTAAAGAACAGAGAAGAAGCTAGAGGGATCAGAAGAAAGTTAAGCTACACAAAGGGGAGGAGGGCAGGGCAATGAATGCTGGCTATAACTTGCAGCTCCTTCAAGAGCCAAAAAATATTTCCTGTGATAAGGTCCTTGCCCTTCCTTGGAGCTAGGGACCTACCAGGAGCCCCACAAAGTAAGCGAGTGCTGTGGGCCTCTGAGGTTTCTCATGATAAGGGGAAAACGCTCCAGAGTAGTTTAGCAATCACTTTTCCCAAGAAACTCTGGGAATTGTAGCTCTGGGAGGCGCCCTAACAACTCTCAGCACCCTTAACAAGCAACAGCCCTCATGATTCTTTGGGGAGGGGGGAAGCCACGACTGTTTAAAGTAGCAACATAGTGCTTTAGATGTATGCTGTGAATGTGGCCTAAGTCAAAAGAAGGGGGTGGGCCAGCTCTCCTCAGCCCCAGCCAGCATGGCTAATGGAATGATGGGAGTTGGAGTCCAACCACACCTGGAGGGCTGGAGCTTTCTCTACCCCTCATATGAGTAGTTAGGCACAGGGGAAGTTTAGCTT